GCTTCGCAATTATCTCATCGCGCGGGGGACCCGGGAGAATGTCACGATTTGAAAACGGATTACTTAATCATGGGATAACGATTCTTCTGCGAACACGGATCGCGCTGTATTCCTCTCCTCTCGCTGACAAAGAGAATTTATGTCGCTCGCGCTGAAATCCATTTCGCCTCGGAAAGCGCGCTCGTTTTCGATAAATGGGAGGAAGCCCGAACGAGAGCATTACCGCGCCCTTCGATCCGTTTAAAAATGCATGCATTGCGGCCGGCGACTTAATGCATCGGATAGCCCCGGTTACATTCATTTGCGCAGCGTGGAAAATTCGCCGTTGTCTCTGTGGGGGATTTTATAACTCGCAACGCATTTCAAGTTTTGTAAAAGTGCTGGACGACGTCGCGGAAATATCGGATAACGATACAAAGCCCGCGTCTCGCTTTACAATTCAAATTTCGTAACAGTAAGCTGCTTTGCGCAACTCTTTATCATACGATAAATAGTTCCAGCGGCGATGCGGTAACAAATACCGCGGCGGAGATTTGTTCGACCGATGCAATAATATCGCGCAAATAAAGGAGATTTTGTATGCATGTTATTTTGCAAATAAATTATTTAACTTTATATGGTTTTCATACTTGGTTTTACTCGCGTCACGCGATATATTTATTGTTTAATTATTTTAGAGAGATAATGCATTGGAAATGTACGGTTTGAAAAGTTGTCGCAATTCGCGCTGCGCGGCATTATTTACCCGTCAGATTATTTGCTCCTGGCGGCAGCAAAGAGAAATGTCGATATTTATTATGGTGAAACAAAAAAAACGAGCGGGTTGCCGAAAAAAACGATGTCATCCTCGAATATCCCCAATTACGACTACCGCGCTTATCTGACTTCCGTCGTCTCGGGCGACCGTCATTCGACTTTATCCTTCCTAACGAGGAGCCCGTTATTTCTTATCGCGTCAGAGTCCGCGAGAGCCGAACACTGTCGTCCGCGTCTCGTTTCTCTTTTGCTTCTCGTCGACGATAAGATAATGTCGGCAATAACACGAAGAGACTCCGACGTTGTTCGCCGCATTAATAATTTGATTTCCGCTGAATAGCGACGCGCGTAACACTCGCGCGTATTTTATGACGATATTCGTAAAATTCACCTCCTGTTTTTCCTACTCGACGTTATCGCATGACGCATAAAATCGCACTTGATCTTACATTTTATCGATCATTTCATCGAACGTTCATTTAATTTCCGGTTTAAATTCTGTACAAAGATATCCATCTAAGATTTTTCTAGATATAATATTGAAATGAATGAGACGTGTGATAATGCCACTCAGAATCAAGTATATCTTAAAGAAATAAATCAACAACAGATAAAAGTATGTCGAAAAATCAAGGCGTAAAGCAGGATAATGTCATTCTAGAATAAATAGAAAATCGATTTGGAATACAGGACATCTTACTCAGGCGCTCTTATCCGCACAAGATATTATGCCACTTCTATCTTCTCTGGAAAAATAGATACATTACTTTCCATAATTTTCCATAAGGTGAAATATCATAGATCTAGTGGCAATTTTTCTCCTAACGCATTGGTTCTTAGCAGGATTTTAGCTTTAATAAATCGGCTTTAAGAATTTATATTACTTGATATTTGAGATAGCATGGCATTATCTATATATTCATGTGATTTACAATAATCAGAAAAACTACAGAAAAATTAGCGATTTTATACTTAATAATTTACTTACAAGTATTCTCCCTTTATGAAAAAAATATAATGCAAGTTTTATTTTATTTTTTCTATAACTCATGCTATAAATTTAAAGTCTTTCTAGTTGAAGTAAAATTCTATGAGCAATGCAATTGTAATTAATTCTCTAATAAAAATTGTAAAAAAATGATTATACATATAAAACATTTTTTACAAAATTTATGTACATATGTTTTATATGTGTATGTACATATTCTTTCAAATATTCAATATTATCATGGTTTGATGCAGCTCTGCGTCTTTTATCTCGTATGCATCAATGAATCCAGATTCAATGGAAGATTTCGGTCTGTCTCCCCTATTCAACTTATACGATATTCGAGTCTCCGAAAGCTCCACTAACCGCAAATCCCGGTAAAGTCCTCGTGCAGCCTGCACGATTTCTCGTGGTTATCGACGCGTTGGGGAACGAGCGGGGGGACGCGGGCGGGTCGGTCATTCTCTACGGGATCCGATGATCCGTCGTCCCGCCACCAAATGATTTAAGACGCAATCTGCGACGGCAGCGGTAGATGAGCCGACGACGACTACTGCGTCTCTCTTTGCGTCTGCAAAGGTTAGCAAACCGCCCCGTCGCTGACGGGACATTCATCACCCGGCTATCTCTACGTCTTTTGCCCCCGGGGGCATACACGGGACTGGAAGCTAATATCCGCGGCAGGCACAGCGCAAATATACGCGGTCGGTTGCGTTTACGGCTTTAGGGAGCCGTAAAATATTCGTAAATTACTCCCAGCGAGAGCAACGGCGTGCGAGCTCGCGCTTACTGTTGCTTCGCCATCGGACTCTCGTCCAACAAGTAGCGCATCTGGCTGCTCGTCAAGCCCACGTCGTAACCACGCACGAATTCATTTAATTTAAATTCTGCCAGTGCGCGTAAGAACGAGAAAGTCTTCATTGTAACTTTTTCCAAGTTTATTACAATTTAATACCAATTTGCGATTTTTATCAATTTAATGTAATTCAAGTCGATTTGATAAATAATTAGTGTTTCGCGAAGAAAATGTCTCCTTTACTCGCAAATAGAAGGGCGGACAATATATTGAATGACAATATATCATATTTTAGCTTGCTTCGGCACTCGATTCCATTTAGTATATCCGTTCTGTGTGACAATCAGACGACACTGAATCGTTCTATGTACAATTCTCAACTGGGACAATTTTCCTCGAGGTTATTTGCGCAAAGCGATACGCTTAAAAACGATTGTGTCAATCAGTGCGCGATATTGCGCGCACTCATGCGTTCATCGTTTGATCGCGATGCCTCATCCTGTCAGTTCCGCTGCCAAATTGGATCGAGCAATGGACTAAGCCGTCGTAGTACATAGATAAACTTTCCGCCGGTCGTTCCGCACCTCCTACTATCTGTGATAAAGCGAGATCCATTTGACTTCCAGCTTATCGACTCACTGCCGCGAGGCGAAGGCGGATTTCTGAGTAATTTCGCGTGACGACGCACACGTGGTTACCGTGAAAAATACTGCGAAAAAGCTTTTCGTCGAGCTTCGCGACGAAAAGGGCATTTTCAAGGCGTGCCGCACAATGAGTTTTAGAAATATTTTTTGCTATGCAAAATAAACATTGCCGTGAAAAATTGCTACTCGTGAGCCTTTTTCCGGAAGAGTGGCACGCATCTAATTTTGCTAACAGTTTATGTGAGAAACTGCCTGTTGTTCTCGAAAAAAAGTGTCTGTCGTTAGATACGCTCGACGAAAATTTCCTACACATTTGCCTTAGATATTTCGTTTCTTTTAATTTTTTATTCCACAATTGTAAATCACAGAATTCTAAAACGAGAAATATAGAGAAATATAAAATAAACCCACAAAATTTTGATTAAAATACGCGAAATTTATCACATGAACTTTTTGTTAGACGCAGCTATTTATTAATAATAATTGAATACGTTATCTTAAATATTAATAGATAAACGCAGACTTTCGTAAGGTTATCGTCGTGACTGCAGAGTTGAAATTCTAACTTCGCGTCTCCACTTTGCAAATGTAACTCCTTTATTCAACGATAAACGTTAAATTTTCTAACCACAATAGCGGCCGAAGTTGGTCCAAGCGACTCGAGTTACGACATCTCGTTACACCCCCACGAAATGTATGGGCGACATCCGGAACACCCACTCACGGAGGGTCCTTGAGGTATACTCCGGCTGTGATCACAATTCACTGTGTCCGGCCAGCTTGTTTCACTACTTGTTTTATCGCGTGTATAGTTTTTCTCATTGATGCAATTTTTTGAGACTTTATATATCTGAATTGACAATTTTAGTATTGACGTTTTTTGCTCATATTTTTCCGAGACGAAAGAATACGTGAAGTTATTAGACACAATAAGAAATCAAACAATAGATAAGATGTATATTATTAATGAAAAATAACAAGTTTTTTATTCCTGAGTATTAATTAATATTTTGAAAATTACTAGCTACAATATTTTGACTGACTTTCTTTTACAAATTATTTTTAACAAGTTGCCGTATCTCTTTGACTTGCTCGATCTTGAAAATCTAATAATTATTTTATTTATTAATTGATAAGATAGATCACTATTTTGTACTTAGTCATCGATTACAATTTCTTTTCAGAATGATATTCTTTATTTATTAATAGAATTGTAGTTAATCATTAAAAATAATACAAAAAATGTGAATGCTATTATCAAAAATATTATTTCAATTTACAAAACCATTGATACAATTTGTTTGCAACATTATTATATTTTCTGTTATTAGGAAGGATATAGAATTACAAAATATCAAATAGCTATTTATCAAAATATAATAGTGAAATATAAAGTGAAAATATAAAAGTGAAAAATTTTGATAATAAAATACAATAGCTTGTCGCTTAACACATAACAGTGTAAGCTTTCTGGCTACTATAAATTTTTACAATTTAGTAAATTACTGTTTATATTAAAGATGTAAAACTTGCTGCGGTACACATGTAAAACTAGATTAATATAATAAAAGTTTTATAGAAATAAAATTTAGTAGTGCATTATTATTTAAAATAAAAAATACGGCAGAAGAATTGCGATATATTTTATTTTGATGTGGTTTGATATGGTGTAGTTATATTTATCTTATTAAGTTAGCTTTACATTTTTTATACAATAATATTTTATGAAATCGCAATCTTATCTAGAATATGATTTTTCTAAAGTGTTGCTATATATATAAGTCTACGGAATATAATCACTTATTGATGTGTCAGTGTTCTTTATTATCCTCAGCTGTCACAGTAAGTAAAGAAGAATTTTTTGTAGATTGTTTTGAATATTTTTTAAAATAATTGTCAAAATTATTTATATAAAACTATTGCTTGTGATTTCAATTATAGTTTCTATGATTAATCTAGAACATATTGTTCCTTGGTAAAAAGGTGGATTGAATAATATTTTTTATAGTAACAGAAAATACCTTAGCTAAAATAATAATTATTACAAATACATATAATGCAAAGGCTCATATGATAACTATCAAATACAATATAATAGAAGAGCATTAAGAGCCGTCGCAGGATGTTAGTGCGAAATTTTAATTTTTCTTAAAGAAGTTAATTAGTCTACAAGAGACTTAACTTTTCGTACATTTTATGTATCTCGATGTGAGATCGGTGTACAATTTAACTGTCTCTTGTAGACTAATTAACTTCTTTAAGAAAAATTAAAATTTCACA